CGGGATTAAATTAAAGTACCCAGGAACGGAGTTGGACCGTCACTCGCATTGCTGCGAACCCCGATCTTATATCGGGGCGTGTCCGCCCATTCCACCAGCAATCAATTTTTCAATGTAAACCCGGCTTTTCTTTTTCTTAATTCCTTTTTCCCTGGCTGCTGCTTCACTCCGTGTAAGATATGTTTCTGTGTATACAACTTTCCAGGGAGCATAAGGCCGTGTAGAAATAACCTGGTCCGAATTATGCCGCATTAAACGCGCATCCATGTCCTCACAATGACCAACATAATAACGGTCAAACCCGGGGGAATATAAAATGTAGGTGAAAAACATAAAAAATCCCGCTACTGGGCGGGATTAAATTAAAGTACCCAGGAACGGAGTTGAACCGTCACTCGCATTGCTGCGAACAGGATTTTAAGCACGCCAGAGTGCTTAATTTATCTTAATCACGCTTAGCCTATTTTAACTAACTAATTAATTTTCATTGATTTACAAACAATGGTTTATTTTTGATTATTGGCATTTTAGTGCCTTTAACTGGTGATTGTTTGCAAATTTGTTTGCAAATTTTGACGGGAAGATTTTGTGAAAATGAAAATTATTCAGTTATGCCAGCTGTCGTTAGCCTCATACTCGATACCAGGAGAGTGAAAATTAAAACAGGGAAATATCCTGTAAAATTGCAAGTAAGCTTTGAGCGTGCAACGCTTCATTACCAAACCATTTTCGATCTCTTGAAGGATGACTATTCAAAATTAGCTGCTCCGCGGATTGGGCCGCATCTTTCGGATGTACGAGACAAGCTCAAAGTCCTTAACCGGGAAGCAGAAGACTTTATAAAGGATATGTCGCCCTTTAGCTTTTATGAGTTCGAGCGTGATTTTATTACTACCCATGAATTGTTTAAACGGAGGAAAAAGCTCAAAGCACCTGAGCAAGTTCAACCTAATATACATCATGTCTTTGACTACTCCCCTTATATAAAGCGGTTTGCAATTTTTAGGGAAGATCATTCCAAAACAGGAACTATTTCGATAGTCTACTTCTCCGTTATTAAACGCCTGTTAGAAGAACAGCGAATCGGAACTGCCCTGAGTTACCAGGACTCGTACAACTCATTTAAAAAATTCCGGGGTAATGTACGCTTCACTGATATAACAATCAGCTATCTCCATCAATACGAACAATGGATGAAAGCAAGGGGTGTTTCAAAAACTACTATTGGAATTAAAATCCGTCCTCTGCGTACTATGTTTAATGAAGCCTTTGAAATGGGTATCATTAAAAGGGATAAATGCTATCCCTTTGGCCGGCGCAAATATCGTATACCTACCGGTCGCAATATAAAAAAAGCAATGGGGCAGGATTTCATAAAACAACTTTACTACTACAACCCGTTAAACTTAAGCGAAAATAAAGCTAAAGATTTTTGGCTGTTTTGCTATTTCGCAAATGGCATGAACCCCAAAGATGTAGTCCATTTAAAATACCAGGATATTCAGGATGGTTACATCGTGTTTGTCAGGCATAAAACCGAAAGAACAACACGAAATGATCCCAAACCAATTACTGTTTACATCACTGAGGATCTACAAAATATTATTGATAAATGGGGGACCCAAAATAAATCTCCTAATGATTATATTTTTCCGGTAATGGATGACAGCATGAGTCCCCTGGAGCAGTATTCATTAGTGACTGCCTTTACAAGGTTTATTAACGACAATATGAAGAAAATTACTGCCCGGCTTGGAATTGATAAAAAAATCACCACCATTGTTTCGAGACACAGTTTCAGTACACAATTAAAACGTTCCGGGGTAAGTACAGAATTTATCCAGGAAGCATTAGGGCATACAGATAAAAAGACAACCGAAAATTATCTGGACAGCTTTGAAAATGCTGTGAAAAAGGAATATGCAGGTATGCTGACTGCTTTTAAGGAGAACGCTAGGCAACCATAGGGCGATTAGGGGTATAAGTCTCCAATAATTGGCAAAGCGCTTAACCATTAGAGCCAAGTTTCAACTGTCATATATAAAAGACTTTCTCAAAGCCCAATTGAAAAAGGCTGTTAACATCGTGGCAAAACTAATGTGGTCAGAATAAATCATTCCTACACCATACATCAAATAAATAAATTCTGGCTACCGATCATCTTAGGCATTAAAATACTTCAGTGCACAAACATTTGGTTGAGATAAGCTTTTTTGTTTAAAACTGAACCGGAGATTTCTTAAGTATATATTCAAAAGAAAGGCCGATATAGGAGCCTGTGACTCCATATCGGCCCTGGTATTCCGGTTGATTTCCTACATTAAAATGATACTCTCCATCTACAAATTTGGTGGGACAATAATGGGCTTTTAAACCTACCTGAAAAGCATTTTTCTTTAGTAACCACCGATGCCCGGCAAGCAACTGAAAACCAAACCACATTTTACCATGATTATTGTTACTTTGATAGCGGTCTAAAAAGGTCTTCGGTCCTCCGTTTGAATAATAAAGCGCATCACTTGTTTGTTCCGGCTGCTGTACAGAAAATAATAAACTAGCTCCAGCCCGTATTACCCATTCATTGCCTTTGCGATTATTAAATATCCTTTCCAATTCAACTGGTACCCGGAAATTAATAATATTCATCTCCCGCGAGGCAGCACTATTGGTAGTTATATCAACTTCTGTTGGGGGACTAAACATGTCTTTGGGAATATTGTAGTCGAAATTAAAACCCACGAAGTTCAATCCAACTCCCACTATCAATGCGTAGTTTCGCTCGAAACGATAATTATAATTTATCAAGATTTCGCCCCCAAACTGAGGAGCTGTTTTAACCTGATAGATATCTTTATCGCCTGTTAAAGAGGCTTTTGTTAGAATTGCAGGTGTAAGGGAAAGACTCCAACTCCGCGATGGTCCCACATATTCTCTATTCGTTGCAAGACTTTGTGCATTTAAATGCTGTACCAGTAAAAGAAAACACCACAGATAAGCCACTTTCATAAGATAATTATTGTAATATTAATGTTCCCGTCGCGACGGTCAATGCCTCAAATGAAGAACTTAACTGGTTAGCTTCTGTTTTCCAGATGATACCAGGTTGGTGTCTGGCAACTTTCATCGACTTGCGATTCTTGAACCCAGACGGAGAAGGGTTTCTGTCTCCAAAATTAAATGACTGAATGCAATGGTTATCATATATCGTTCCAGTACAGCCTACTGCTAATTTCATCCGGGATCTCTTAAACTTTCCGTTGCTTTGTTTTTTGTAAGATACAACTTTTCCCTTCGCACCACTTCTAACCCACCAGGAATTAATGGCGACTTTCAACTTAAACCTTCTGGATTCATCAGGAAGCGGATAAAAAATATGCCTCCGTCTGTTGGTAAAGCACGGCAGCGACGACAAAGTTGAAGCAGAAGTCCCCGTTCTCAAACCAGTTGTGCTTGCTACGCGGGCGCCTACATCATTTGTTCCGGCATCGCCAAAAATATAAGTTGTCGTTCCAACAATTAACTTATTGTTTGCGTTGGAAACTACGTTTTCTGCATCATCATATGTTTGATCGACGCTATCGGGGTCTATCCCTGTCATATTATTGGTCAGCCAGGTGTTTTCTATCCCTTCTAACTGCGACCGTTTGGAAGTATAACTTGGAAATAGACTCTCGAATTGCCGCATGGTATAAAATTCATCAAAGTTTGTAATCGCATCAACGCTATCAAGTTGATCTGGCGTGAGACTGCTATATTGGTTTTCGTAGTTGGCATTATATGTTTCATAGTTAGCGTCCAAAGTATCCAGGACACGAGACAAATCTGGTTCTGAGTTAAAACGAATCAAGCCTGTTGATTGATAGTATGTCAGGGTGACACCGGCAAAGCTCCTTGTCACTGATGAAGGTGCAGTACAGGCAATTGAAACATTATATGAGTCGCTTGTACCGGAAACAGAGGTTTCTACACGCATTGTATAAGTACCAGAGCCAGTTTTTGTAAAATACAAAGTACCGCTTGTGGGGGAATTTAAAGACATGCCCCAGGGGCCACTGTAGGTAGCATAACCCATCCAGGGCGAACTTGCCACAACGGTACCTGTTGTATCATATATAGTGAATCGATTTGGTACATCGTAAGCTGTCAGGCTCACATTTATAGATGAACCTTCAACGGTACTCGTCAGGTTGATTGTATCAATTGGATAAGTGTAATAGCCGCTCCCACTGTATGAATTACTGAAAGAACCACCACAAGCAGTAGATCGGGCTGCCGAATTATCGGCCGCTCTTCCGCCCGGAGATGTTCCATTTATTATTGGATATTCAGGTGTCTTAATGCGTGAGCCAGAGCTACTGATTTTACTTGGAATAAAATTAAGGACAGAATCTTTAGAATAGCTCAATGACGATATATCTTGTGCTTCGTCCGACTCTTTTGACCGCTTAGTGCAATTAAACAAAGTAGCAGCCAATAAAATAAAAACGACGAGAGTCGTAATAATGTTTTTCTTCATATAGGCAAAGTTTTAGTTAGAAAATAAAAATAGTCCAAATACAAACTCCTTTAATTTTTGTACAAACAATTTTACAATTACTTTTTTTTAAGTGCAAATACCTATGCGTCTTTTTGACAATTCCAAGATTTGCAGGTATAGAAATACTGCCTCTCCATCTTAAAGTAGAATATCTAGCCTTCTTATTGAACATTATTAATATATCGAATTGATCAATTGAAACCTTCGAACAGTTCCTGAAAGATTTTAAAAAAAAGCGTCCCACTTGAATCGATGGAGAATAAGTTCCAAGCCCATTCCTATTAAAATCTCGTCCTGCTTAAACCACCAGCTCACTCCTCCGGTGGTTGTGTCAGTATGGGCAGCCACCATAAAACCGGTTATTCAATTCTACAAAGGCATCTTTTGAAAGACCCCGTTCAACAGGATCCACGTCTATAATGTTCCGGCGAATGCCGTCTTCGAGTGCCATAGTAATAAAATTTAAGTTTAATAGTCTCTGTTTTCGGAGAGAAACTGTATGCGCTTCGACACAACCCTGGGAATTGAGTTGTCTAAAAATCAGGGAGCGCCTAAATGGGATGCTAAAAATAGGATAGAAAATATAAA